TTTCGTCCTCAGAATGTAAGCAGGGCACATTCGGTCCGAGCTGCTCTCTGTCATGTGACTGTGCGGAGGACACACCATGTGACCCGGTGAGCGGCAGCTGTATCTGCACCTCAGGAAAGACGGGCGTCCGGTGTGACAGCGGTGAGTCCAGCAACACTAATGCCCGTTCATGATTAGATATGAATATGCTTTTCTAATGTGTGCTGTGTTGACAGACTGCAGTGTGAGGCGGTACGGGCCCGACTGCGCGTTCAGCTGTGAATGTGAGAACGGAGCTCAGTGCGACAGCAGAAGCGGACGCTGCACGTGTCTGAACGGCTGGATCGGCCTCACATGCTCACAACGACAACCTGCTTCATATCACACAACAGAACTACAGAATCAGGGTTTGCAATCAAGCCAAAAACAAAAAACTCAGAACTTGAATATAAATATATTTATTATTGCAGATGATTCTGAATCAATGAATTGAAAGCTTTCGGTTTTATGATGGTCAGTCAATGTCTGTGGATACCATAAAAAACTAAATTCTCTATGACTTCTCATAAAGCAGTGTTTAAGTCATTGTATTTTTATATATTAGAAAAAATAGCATATTAAAGACATACACATATAATCAAAGATATACTATTATAATATTTATTCATCCATTAACATTTTGGTTTCTGCTAGTTTTAGTAATTTTTCTTTCAATTTTAGTAGTCTATATAGTTTTTATTGTTATATTTTGTTTACATTGGCGTTTTAGTAATTTTGTTGTTTTTCATTTTTATTATTTTTAAAGTGTATAGTTTTTATTTTTATATCTTGTTTACATTTGAGTAATTTTGATTTTTCATTTTTATTAGTTTCTTTTAATAAGTCAGTTTATTTGTATTAATATTTCAGTTTTACTTATTTTAGTACATCAAGTTTAAATGAAAATGAGAAATGTTTTCTTTCTAAAATAAAATAAGTTTAGGTTCATTAATATTTGATTTCAGTTACTGTGTATTTTATAAGTAACTTTTTAAATGGGTTTTAGGTTTAGTTCTATTGAACCTGCAAAACAGTAACATTTAATATTCGTCAACTACATTCGTTAACAAACAAACAATGAAAAATACTTCTAAAGCATTTATCAATCTTAGTTAATGTTGATTCCAACATTTACTAATATATGTTATTAAAATCAAAAGTTGTATCCATTAATGTTATTTAATAAACCTGAGCCAAAATGAACTAACAATGAACAGTTGTATTTTAAAGCTTAATAAATACTGTAACAAATGTATTGCCCATTGTTAATGCATTAAATATAGTTAAACGGAACCTTATTGTAAAGTGTTACTGTTTGAATAACTCTGATAGACACGTGATTTAATGGCTGTGATTGTGTTTTTGCAGCTGGACCTCCAGAGCTGGACTCCAGACGTTCAGAAGAGAATCAGTCGCAGCTCAACACCTCGTAGCGCTAGCAAACACACACACACACACTGAGCTCAGTCACAGCACAACTGTGTTTAAGAGCTGTTTGCAGGTTCATCCAGACCCACAGGAGCCTCTTCAGCGATCACCTTCAAACACACAGATGCACTTTACTCAAGTTCACACTTGATCCTCCATCGTCTGTGTTTTAGTACTGTTGTGATGCAGAGATTTTAAAGAGGCTGGATCACATTTGACTGGACTAAACAAGAGAAAAGTGCCTTTCCATTTCATAACACTCTTTGTTTATTATAGCTGTTTTTTATTTTATAAAATAAAAGTCCCAGATGGTTTACTAATTTGACACAATCTGTGGTTGAACACAAACTGTATTTGTTTACCTCTTTGACAGACTGTAACATCTGATGAAACATCTGTGTGGATGTCAATATTGAACTGTACATGAAGTGACCTTTCACAATGTTAGAAATGGTGCTAGGATGGCCTTTATTAAAGGAGGACCTGTATATGTTAATATTAGAAAACATTCGCAACTGATGCATTTTTAATGCTTTTGATTAATGTTTTGTATAAAGTTTGAATTATTTATGTTTTGTAAAATACAATTGTAGATGTTTTGCAAACTTTTTAATGTGTGAACGTCTTACTTGTGCCTCCCTGGAATGCTTTTTTAAAATTATTATTACTAAGCATGTGTTATGCATAAATATTTTAAAGAGTTGTGTGCTATATTTTTAATTCAGCAAGTTGTCTAATTAAAAAAATTTTTTTTTTTTAAATCCAGGGGTTGGATTTGTGAAACTTTTTTTTTTTTTTTTTAAAATAAAACGTCT